AAGTGCATTTCTCAAAACAACACGTACAAACTGCACAACATAGTGGATAACTGGAAAAAGCGCGTCACCTGCTCAAAATGCTTTGTCTATCGTGCAAAAGTGTGTTTTTTCATCAATCATTGTGTCCGAGGCAGCAGAATCCCATGTCATTTCCTCAATGTGAACGTGACAGGCAAAATTATTAGTCATGTTGTCAGTAGAACATCATACTCAGTTTTTGTTATTTACTGTAAACTATACTCAACTCAGGTTTTGATGACTAGAAACCACTAAATTACCGTACTGGTGTGTGTCATAATTTACAGTGTCCCTCCGGTAAAAAAAAGAAGTGATTCTTGCAAACCATTGTGCATCAACCAGGTGTTGCAGTAATTTACATGGTAAGAATAGATAATTTTCTGAATGATTCCATCTAACCTCATCTAACCAATCACCATCGCCCCACGTTACAGTATATGGAAGAATCGAAACAAAAGATCAGACTGTACTCACATTTCTACTGTACTGTCAATAGTGGTACTTACATACAGACAACAAAGGAAACTATACATAGTCTATTTACCTAGCAATGGAAACATACTGTAAAAAAGACAAAGTGGGAAGAACTATATATGTACAACAGAAGGTAAAGGTGAGATTACGTGGCAGTTTTCCTATGCGCCATGTCGGTCCTGTCTGTTGGGCCACAGATTCTCATCCACATCACAACATATATTTTGTCTTGCTATGCACCGTGGAAAGAATCTTCTTGAGTGCCTAATCCAGCCTCTGCATGCATCTGCTGAGATGTCCTCACATGCTGCATCCATGGCAGCCAGCAGTGTCATCCGCGTATGTGGCTGATGATCATAAACCTTCCACCGCCAAGCCGAGAAAAACTCTTCAATTGGGTTCAGGAATGGGGAGTAGGGTGGAAGGAATTCAATCAGCATCCTGCGGTGGTGGACAAACCACTGCCTGATGTTGTCAGAGCGATGGAAACTGACATTATCACAAATTACTACATACTTTGGTACATCATCTCGATTGAGGTCCCTCTCATCTTCAGGAATGACATTTCTATAGAGATTGTCTAAGAATGTAAGGAGATGCTGTGTGTTGTACGGTCCCATAATAGGAATATGAGCTAGCACACCTTGGTCTGACATAGCAGCACACATAGTGATGTTTCCTCCCCGTTGGCCTGGGACATCAACAGTAGCTCTCTGGCCGATTAGATTTCTACCACGCCTTCTGCCTTTGGCCAGGTTGAAGCCAGCCTCATCCAAGTATATGAAGTTGTGAGGTGGTTCTCTTCGTTAACGAAGGTGAAGACTCACCTGAGAGCAATTTCTCAATTCTGGACATATTTCTTAGCAAACATCTACTCACACTTTGTAGAAATCTGTACAGACATACAATTCTGAGAACATGTTCACTCATTTTGATAGTACAGACTTCCAACCTGAAAAAAAGACTAATTGGTTTGGTGGTTGTGACATTTCAGCTGAGAACCAAGACTAGTTATTTTGCACAGCTGGACAAAAGCAACAAGAATTGTCAAAAACAGCTGACAGATGTACAGAACCATTTGCATGTTGTCTAAAAGCCATTGCAACTTGATGAAAACAACAAGAAATTGCTGATATGATGTGAACAACTGACAAGAGAATCTGACGGTTGAACGAGTAGTTCTGAGAAATGCAGTTCTGTTGTGAGAAATGAATGAAAGCAATAGAGAAAAACTGTAACATACTAGGTCATTTGTTTGGTTGCATATTTATTGATTAGTTCATTGGTTAACTGTCTACATAATCAGTATTTTTATAAATATGTTGTTGATCAATTTGTTTTTAAGCAATTTCTTTTGTACATGGATAAAAGTGAATAAAATAAGACTTTCTCCAGCAAATACAAGTGTTTATCACTTTTATTCCTGTTCCATAAAAAAAAAGACATACAGAGTCTTAATATAATCAAACAAGAAAAAGCAGGGCCTTTCTCAGACTGTGATGTGCACTAGTTTTCTGTAACGTGCTTTCAGATGAGTTCGACCCGATGCCTACTGTAGGTACAGGATAAAACAGATATTAACCTGTCGAGCCAGAGAAGGCATTATGAAGTCATACAAAGCACAATTTACATTAAATACTCTTGAAGCACCAAAGATGTTTTCGGAGATGTCATCGGTTATGACAGACTTCTAAAATGGTTTATTTACAATTAGGTGGATTTCAAATCACAGTTAATTAATTAAATCCAGTGTTACTACAAAGCACAAAACCGCAAGCTCATACACAGCAGTAAGCATTTTAGAACAACTATTCTACTCCACCTTTACAAATAACCTTGTACACTTGTACAAGACGATTCGGTCCAATCTATTGTTTTCAATTTACAATTTATAATTATGAGCATATAACCAGTACTTATTGTGAGACTGCTGAGGCGGCACGGTGAAAATCATTTAGTTGTGTCAGTCTCACTCCCATGGGGCTTCAGTTCCTTCAGCCTGGGCGTACACAGAGAGTTCCTCATATAGTCCTCCTCCACATGTCTCTATTGCCAAGCCCTGAGAGAGGGAAACAAGTCAGTTTCGGTCAGTTTACATCTCTTTCTTTGAGCCCCATGGGGCTCTGATAAAGTAATGTGATGAAAAGCTATGAAATTGTCTAAGTACCATTTTTTGCTTATTTTTGGCCATATTAGTGCAGCTTCAAAGTGAATTGAGTTTATTATTCAAAAATGACTTAAGGATAAAATTATGCAGCTGCTAAATGCGACAGCAGAGTGGTTGATATTTAGATATTCTGAAGTATCAAACACTCTTTATATTACTGCCTAACTCTGTTGCTCCTGATTATTAATGTTTGTCTATCTGAGCACATTAAATTCACAATTATTGTCATATTTTAACTTTCCAGTTAAGACATTAACAGTCAGACCTTTCCTTGGTGATTTTATTACAAGAAGGCTTAATAACTGTAATGCTTTGCTCTCATACCTCCCACCAAATGCTGCTGCGAGAACCAAAAAGTGCCTCTCCAGCTACTGAAAAGCAACATTCTGCAGCTTTGGACCACACTCATGATGTAAACATTTATGAAGACAACCTTTTACTTTGACCCAGAAGCTATTACTACTATAAAAAAATATAAAAAATTTTTAAATAAAAAAAAACTTTAACAAATTTTGTCACCTACTTTTTTAATCACTAGATAAGTGGTTGTCTGCTTCCTCTTCATAATTATTTTGGTTTTCTTGTGCATTAATATACACAGTTGTAATTTTTGTACGAAAGATACTGCATAAAAAATTGTTCTTCTATGATTTCTACAAAAAGACTGCACTAGAAAAACAATTTTTTTCAACCCATAAATGTTACTTTCCAAAGTTACTGTCATTATTTTTCAGTTCAGCAAACTAGAGGTAGTTCCATATACAGTAGCTTATAGACTATGTTCATACATGAACAAACCTTAGAGCTGCATTGACAGAAGATGATGTGGTTAGGAGCTCAGTGATGTAGTGGGACTCTGTGTCCTGTTATTTCTTGTGGTTTTATCTAAGATCAGGCAGCTGTGATGTGTGTTCATGTGTCATGTCCTCACAGATGTGATGAGTAAAGGTTCACATATGGCAAAAAGAAATGAGACTGTCTGCTAACAAATAGAAACATTCCCACAAACCTCATAGATGTGATCAGTCTCAGGGTCTTCATATATGCTGTCCCTCTTTTTCATCTGTTGAAAAAAGATGACATGAAAAAAAAAAGAGTTAAAGAGTTAGCACCTCTGTGCCTGATAGGCCCATGTGGTAATCCATCTATGCTTGCTCTGTTTTATCCATGTTGTTCCTTACCAGTTTCTCTTTGTGTAGCATTATACCAGCAATACACACAGCTAACAACAAGCCCTGGATGATCATGAGCCCCTCCAAAATTCGGGAATTCTTCGTTGCCACCAAATCCTGATTGTATTCTGTGAGAGGAAACATTTGTGTTGTGTGTTTTCAAACCAGAGCAGACATTACAGTAAATGTCCACACAGGTAGGTGTGCATATGGCTCGTTGTCCTAACCACTTACTGTAAACCATTATTTGAGTTCCAGGTCCCCATGTGTTGCCGTGCTTGCAGAAGTACACTCCACTGTCATCTTCGGTCAGATTAGAGATGACGAGAAGGCCATTTAGGGTCTTGTTCACGTTACCAAGTGTAATCTCTTTTCTTTTTAAATTTATTTCAGAAGTACCACTGTTGTAGCTGTCAGCCTTGACCCAATGCACATTGGCTTTTTCATCATGATTTGAGGCTGCACAGTAAAGTGTCGTAATATTGCCGACTGTTGAACGACGGAATCGGGGCTTCTGTAACAACTGCAGGGCCACTGAACAGAAAAAAGAAGGTTAAGGGACATTGTGACAGTTACAAAAGCAAGTACAGTAAATCCCTTTAAACAAAGCACACATATCCATATTTTTTAACCTTCATTTTACCAGGGTAGTCCCTTGGAGGTTTACAACCTCTATTTCAAGGAAACCCTAGCAAATCTTCTCCTTGCAGTGCTGGTCTGTTGGTATGATGTTCGCTCAGACGTCACATGTAAGTCACTAAGTGTAGTGCACTTAATGAATGTGGAGATGATTAAAAATGACTATTTCCAGAGTTCTACTTAAGCAGAGATACTTTTAAAGTTATTAGAGAGATGAAACATCTTCATGTACAAGTTATAGAGAGTATTGTCATTGTTATGGTTACATGCTAGAATGTTTGTGTTAGAGCAGTGTGCTGAGACTTACAGCTGCTTCCGGTGATGATGATGTTAATTGTAATAACAAGTGCTGTAATTAATGATTTTTATTAATCTGTAAATTGCTTTTTCATGCATCGATTAATTATTTAGTCCCTAAATGGTAAAGACACATTGTGAAAAAGATTGCCAGAGCTCAAGGTCACTTTTTTTTCCTCAACCAAAAGGAAAAATCTCAAGCATTTTAAGTTTACAGCAATAAAAAAGTAGCATCTGATCACAGTGGGAAAGTGTGTTTGATAAATGATATAAACTAACTTAATTTACAATAGCACTGAACCAGTTAGTTGATAAATCGTGGATCAGCAGAAAATTTGCATTATTTTCATAATCAGTTAATTTTTCAACCTTTTATTGGCTACAGCTTCTCAGATGTGCTGCTTTAAGGTTTAAGGACTGTTGGTCAGTTGGTGCAAAAACATCTGAAGACATCACATTAGACTGGTAAAATATTGAATCAAAAATGAACATGTGATGGGATGTTTTATTGATTAAATGATTGATCAAATAATATAAAAAAAAATTGTCACACATGAACTGATAATGAAAACAGTCTTTAGCTGTGGCCCTAGAATGGACAAAGTGGAGGATAATATAACTGAGGCTCTGGCTGATCCATCTTAGAACTACACAAGAGATCTGGTTTTAATGTTATGTAAACAACTATTGTGGTCTTGTTATCTCTATTTTTGTTCTTAAAATGGAGTACAAGTCTAAACTAAAGTATTTGGCTGATGGGGGTAATTGAATGGAAGGACTCTGCTTTCATATGATGTCCTGACTTATTAAAATAAGAAGACATCAGTTAATCAACATGACAATCATGCTATAAAGTCTTTGTTTCAGAAGACAACTTCCTCTTTCCCCCCCAGATGGCCAGGAAGTAATGGTACTGTGGAGTCAAAAATAACATGCAAAATACTTGTATGCAGTTTAGCTGTGGTTAAACAGACATAAAAGGAAAAAGAATTACAATGAAAGTGACGGCATAAAACAATACTGTAGAGAATTATACTGCTGTTAGAACATCCTATGTTTTATTAATGTTAATATTTTGCACCAAGGCTAATTGTTGTCTGCATCATTTTTAGTTTTAGGTCATAAATAAATTGATCATATTACAAGAGTTTACATTTACCTGAGAAACTGATCAAAGCAAGCCCACAGCATCCAGCCAGCAGCCAGCGCATGATGACATGCAAAAAAAAAAAGATTTCAAATGCTGATGTCCACACGTAGGTCCAAATCTCTCTGCGCTCATAAAAATGTTGTAAACACGCTGAACTGTCTGCACCAGTGGGTGCACTGCCTGTTACAGCACATGCTTTAATGCCAGGCAAATAAGGGGAAGAGCGCTGTAACCAAAATAGCTTTAACGCTCACGCTTTTAACCATTGAAAACCGAATTTCATTCACGTATGTTCCATTTTCAGGGACAAATGAAACACTGGAGGGATACTGAGACAGTTTGTAGGATAACACAAAACATTTGTAATACCAAATTATTATCCTGTTTGAGGACTGGTATTTTCAACGACTACTTTTAGAAAAGAGAAAAAGAATTTTGACTAAATAAACAAGTGTAAACTTGGCTCAGTTTGGATCTAAACCAGGAATGACCTGATCATCAAACTAGTCAAGGTTACAAATCACATGAGACATTCATTGCCAGATTTTGGTGCTGTGCTTGATAGTTTTCGGCATCCATAGCACCAACCCAAAAAATGTTACGGTTTAAGGTCTGTTGTTTTTTTTCTCTTAACTTTTACAATTTGAATAGTAAGAATGTATCCCATGTCTATCCTGATGTGTCAAATGGGAAAAATATATCATACTTTGGTCAGCAATATAATTATCATGCTTTCATTCATGCATCAGTAAATGTGCATGTGCAAAAGGAGGACATTGGAAATAGTTTCATAGAAATATCCATTTGGAGAATTCATTCATATGCTCTGCTCATTTGACCTTTCTTTTTAAAATTTTAATTTCATCAGGACAATTTTATTTGTAATGGAAAATGTGGGTGTTTTCCTCTGTCACAGACTGTTGGAGACGAGCGAGGCCAACTAGCCCCCAAATCAAGAAAATTAGTACATCTAGTGTCACCATCAGGTGAGACTGTTTATTTTTCTGACCAAATACCTTGAAACCAAATGACATTATCATTAACCTTAGCTGGTCATTGTAGGCATGATACCTGCAAACATCAGCATGTTAAGAGTGTCACTGTGTGTGTGTAAGGCACAGAGCGCTACTAGCATGGCTGAGGACTCTTAGTCTTGTTATGCAACATCGACTTGCAGTCAAGAGTGAAGTTTCCTGCTTGACCAAGGAGAACACATTTCCTTAATTCTCAAAGCAAATGCATCTTACAGCAACCTTGTCAGTTTTTATCTACCATATGTTTGGTATATTTTAGGGCGTAGTCTGTCACCTCCAATAACCATGCTGACAATAATGTTGACAGGAAATATGGTCTAATGAGATGTGACTCAGAAAATCTGTCTTGCCTCATCTACTTTTTTAAATTTCCAATTAATTTTTTTTCTCTCTGTAAGCAGTGTTGGCAGTGGCTGCCCTGACGTGTTTTAAATTAAACGGAGCAGTCACAGGTGGGAAATATTATTTGTAGAACTACAATGATTAATCAGGGCATCTATCAGACAACTGACAGAAATTTAATCAGAAGCTGCTGTGATGATACATTAATCCTCTAGTCAGTCTAACTTTTATGATAAAATGCCAAATACTTTATGGTTGCAGCCTCTCAAATATGCGAATTGTCCTTGTTTTACATTACTACAGTATAAGTATCTCTGAGTTTTGAACTGCTGTACTCTAGGAAGTTGTGAGAATGCATATTGAGAAATAATCAGCCTTAATTATTTGTGCTTGCTCAACATCAAGGTCTGCTGGTGACAACAGCACCAACAGAAAGCACCAGTACAGAGCAGCTAAAGGTCCACATGCCTTTAAATAACTAGTCAGTACTGGGCAAGGCAGAGCGTGCAACCTCAAAAAAACACTGATTAATCAGACCGCCTACATCCTTATTTCTGGTAAGAGACAGTGCTTATTTCCATGTGCTGACATTCATGTTCATAAAAATAAAATGAGACAAAATTGGCAGTCTGTCAGTAGTGTGACGTGTTCACCTCACAACCACTGGAGGGCCTCCATGTACAAAACAGCTATTGACAACATGAGCTCACAGCCCATGCTTCCCTATAAGACATTCTTTATTCTAACAATATAGTTACAGTTTTTACAATAACAAAATGATATAAATGTACAATACAGAAGGAAAAAAGAAAAATGTATATACAGGCAAGACTGAGTGCAGGTGTGGCAGTAAAGCTGCCCATAAGGCTCTCGCTCCATTAGAAGTGTAAACAACAGCGGGACACTATCATTTCAGTGTGACTGTCAGAGGACCAGTGTGTCAGTCCGAAATAGGATTGCTGTAGGTTTTATTACAGGCTTCTGACAGGAACAAGTACCATGCTGAGGCAGTAGGTTAAGACAAAGGGTAAACCCCAGTTTCTTTATATGATCGTTTGATCCTCACTCAACCCCTGAGGTTGTTCTGGTCCACCATCTCAGAGGATGTTCTAAAGCTCTTATTCCTGTTCTGAGGAGCGAGGACTGAGGAAACTGCCTGCAGGAGCCATGACCAAGGATAGACGAGAGCATCCTTCCTGAAGTCTTTTTTTTTGTCTTACACACCCTTTATATGAAATCATTTGAGTGGACTCTGCAGGTGAAGCATTGGAACAAAGGATGTTTTATGTGTGTTTCCCTCATTTCTCCCTTCTTGAATTTTCTCCTTGCATCTTCTCCTCATGTTCTCCATTGCGGAGCTAATCCCTAATCCACATTAATGTGTTTTTAGATAGTTTTGTGTGTGTGTGTGTGTGTCTCACACAAAATCTCACACTGCAGGTAGAATTCCATTCTGTGAAATGAGTCACTCCACACTGAATCTGACACATGCATAAGATGTGCATCACCCCTGGAGCCTCCACGTTTTTTTATGCTTTAGGTCTTTTTTTTTCTCTGCCGCATTAAGTGAAGTGTAATCTCCACAGACCAATGTTCTGATGACTAAGACACAAGGCACACATCTCGCTTTCAGTGTGGAATGGAATCAAGCTTCAGTAGCACTTACTTGCTGCTCATGTCTCAGACACAAGAAAACGACACAAGTGAGGGAAATGTGGGGTAAATTCCCTTTATTACATCCATGGTTACCTCACTTGTGTCTTAGTCCAACAAAAGTAAGATTTGAGGAAGATTCAAGAAAAGAATGTGAGGAGAGAGGAACTGAGGAAACACAGCCATAAAGACATCCTTTACTGTGATTGTTTATCTGAAATGTCCAATCACCAATTGATTTCTGATAAAGGGGCTTGTCGGTCCACAAAAGACTTCTGCAAGAAACTTTCTCTTGTATCCTCATTGTCTCCTCCAGGCAGCCTTCTCATTGCACCTTGCTCCTCATTTTGGGACTTCCTTCAAGATGGCAGACCAGACTGACTTTTGGGCCGAGCAGGGATCAAAGTAAGGGAAGTGGGGTTTTCCCACAGAGCCGCACTGTAGAGGAAGCATTCATGGTTTTTGTTTTTCCCTAAGGATTGATGTTACAATAGTGCTGAACACATAAACAAGAGAAGGGACAACTGTCTATTGTCTACTGTAAAAAACAAACTAGAAAACTGTAAAAGTGCTTATGTTATTCATGTATAGGTATTCAGAATAAGACATTTTAAATTAATTTAAGACTTACACAACAGCAAGTGAAGCAATCCTTCTGCATGAGGACTGACTTGATAGATCCACTGTGCATAAAGGCTCTTTCTAGAATGATTTTTTTGTTTTGTTTTGTTTTTTTGATTGTAAATATGTGTGAATGTCTACACATTGAAACCTAAACCAACATTCAGCCATGTGCTATGTTTGAGAATTTCATATTGAAATAAGATCAGGTCAAAAGACAAACTCTGCACTTTCTTTTATAATGCACAGCAAGTACTAGAATCATTATTTAGGAAACGGTTCAAATGAACAGGGAGCTTAGCAATTCTGTTCTGCAACTATGTTAAAGTAAACATCACCTCACATCTTATGTTTACAGTCACAGGTGCTGTGTAACCCTGAAACTGCCAAATGGAAACAAGGGATTGATTGCTTTTGTTTTGAGATCATCTGAATTCTCAAAGGACAAAAAATGTGTACAACAGCATAAATCGGGGATGAATTTGACTTAAAAACAGGAAGGTCTCTCAGTCTTGCTCTAACTTGACCTGGAAGGGATAAATAGTGCAATATCAACTGGGCCTGGCAGGGACAGATTTTTCACTGCATTAGCTGGCCCATGATCTTGTTAACGAATAACAGACATCAGTGTCTCACCAGTAGACTGGAATAAATCTGACCTAGAATTCATTTGTTACTAACTTACATATGTACAAAACTAATTTGACCATAGAAAACCATTTCTAACTGAAGTTATAAGCTGCAGGGTCCTCACATTGATGAGCTCCACATAAAAGTGACTTGAAGTAAGCAGAAATAGAAAAGAAGTGAAGTGACCCAGATTTATACCAAATGAAATGGTTCAGTGTCAGTGTCATGATGAAGTCCTACAGTCCAATAACATGCAGCTTAGGTTGATTGGTGGCTCTAAATTGCCCATTGGAGTGAACGTGAATGTGGGCAGTTGTCTGTCTTTATGTGTCGGCCCTGTGATAGACTGGAGACCTGTCCAGGGTGGACCCCACCTCTTGTCCCATGTCAGCTGGGATTAGCTTCAGCCCTCCCATGACCCTGCTCGGGATAAGCAATATAGATAATGGATGGATGGATGCTCTGTAGTGCTGGATTATAGTGGTGCATTCATGTTGTATTGTGTTGCTTTTAACTGTTAGTTTTTGCTTTCTCTTACAGTTTTCTCTGTAAGGTTGTAGACACTGTGTGTGACATGAACACAGAATAAAATCCTGTTGAAGGATAATTCAGGTTTTTTCATGTGATGTTCAAGCAGTTTTTTGGTCTGAAACAGGGGTGCAAGGTTTGGTTTTCTGGTAATAGCTATACAAAAGCAACCATAGCTACAGTATGTTCTGATCTCTATCATTTGGGCGACAACTATTCATTAAAAATATCAAATACGTTTTAATTTTTCAGAAATGCAATGTAAACAAAGACTTGCTCTGTTTTGCAACTTCAGGATTGTTTTTCTTTTCTCATTAGAAGCTTGTCACAGATTTTGGTCCACAATGATGTTTTACCCTGCTACAACAAGTTTGTTTTGGCTTACATAGGCCTAAAGGAAACTATAAGTCTTGTATTTTACTAGAGGTCAGTGTACATTTAAATCCTCATAAATCATGTGTAATCATTCACCCATACCAGTATACAATAAAAGCATCACAGGCACAGAATAAAGTGTGCTACAGTGGGACTTAGATTAAAAACAGGCAACTAGTAATTCAATGATTGAGCATATTCATTTTACAGCGAAATTACTTCTCATTTAACAGTGAACAAAATGACCTGGATTTGTTTATTTAAAGGTATTTAACTATTTGCCATTGTCTCACTTGCTATTATTGTTATTAATAGAGGATACTACGCACTCCATTTCCACCTTCAAGCCAAAACAACACTTAAATATCACAAGAAAAAACAGCATTGTGTATTATTTTGTAACCTCTTAATGTGGAAAATTCAGCTTCATTCATGAGACGTAACTAACCTTACTTCCTTGACTGCTGTAAAGTAACAGGGGGAGACAGTTAATTATGCTCTGATGTTTGTTATACACTTGACTCTTTCAGGTTTGCCTGAAGGCTCAAGAGGTGTTGGTTGGGGGCAGAATGTAATAAAACCTCATTAGTAATTTCCACAGGTACAACCATGACATTTGGCTTAGGGGGTTCACTTGCATAATGTGACAGTGCCTCCGGATTAAGGTGCTGTTGGCTTGCTTGAGTTTCTGAAAGGGCCTGTTCCAGCTCCTCTGCCAGGGCTACGTTGCTCCCATAGAGCAATCCCAGCCTTCGTGTAAGCAGCCCTTCTTTTTCTGATGGCTCTTCACCATTGTCCTTTCTACCCATTCTCTTAGAGCGGTGTATAAAAGCAGCATGACATATGCAGCGTTTCAGTAGGTGGCTGCGGTAAGCCCTTTGAATGACTACAACAGCCCACTCCTCTTCTTTGTGGCGTACTGTTGTGGTAATTGGTGCAAAGGAGTCTGAGGTGGGGTTGTTCTGGATGAACTTGGTCTCTATGCTCTCTCGCATTGCTACCATCTCCACTGTGTTTCCCAAGACCACCTGTGTGACGGCCACCAAGACATCCAGGCAGTGGAGCCTGTCCCCTATAACCAGGGGCAGATCCATTTCAATCAGGTGAAGCCGGTTGGGCTTGGCCACCTTCAGCGGCTCCTGTAATTCATCACAGAAATCTGAGAGTTGGCTGTACTCAATAAACTGAGCTCCATCAAGGTCAAACCTCTGCCAAGTCTCATAAAACATCTCAAAGTCTTCCTCACAGAGTGCATCACTACTCTCCTCCTGTGCCACATTGAAGTTCTCTAAGATGATAGCAATGTACATGTTGACCACCACTAAGAATGAGATGATGATGTAGCTGCAGAAGAAAACCATGCCAATAGCCGGGCTGCCACAGTTACCCTTCACATCTGTGCCTGGGTTCTCAAAGTTCGGATCACAGTCTGGAGGCTCCCTGTTCAACATTGGAAGTAAAAGTCCATCCCAGCCAGCTGATGTTGTAATCTGAAACAAGCAGATAATGCTACCACCAAATGTCTCAAAGTTCAATATGTCATCGATTCCAGCCTCCTTTTTGACATAGGCAAAGTTTGACATGCCAAATATGGAAAAGATGAACATAATGAGGAAGAGCAGGAGACCAATATTGAATAGGGCAGGAAGTGACATCATTAGAGCGAAGAGAAGCGTTCGAATGCCCTTAGCTCCTTTAATAAGACGTAGAATCCTGCCTATTCTGGCCAGTCTGATCACTCTGAACAGAGTGGGGGATACAAAGTACTTCTCGATTATGTCTGAGAGCATTGTACCTGAAATAAAATGAGATGCACTACAGTTAGAGACACCATTTGATTAGAACGTCTGTTCGAACAGTAGAGCAATTTGCAGTGCCTATTCATTGTAATTCACAGTTGTACTTATAATGTATTAAGTACCAACCTGCAATTGACAAGATGACCACAACAAAATCAAAAATGTTCCATCCGCTGGTGAAGAAGTACTGTCGCAGGGCAAAGAGTTTCAAGACACACTCTCCAGTGAAGACAGCAATGAAAGCCACATTTAATTTAAAGAGAAAATCCTCCTTCTCTACACTCTGATTGTCTGTCTCCACCATCATGGTCACCATATTGAGGCAGATGAGTACCATGATGAAGATGTCAAAGAACTGCTGGCCAATTAAGTCAAACGCCATGCCCTGGATTTGGTTCTGCAGGTCAAAGGAAGACGGGAGGAGAGGATGAGAAGGTGACAAACAGAAAACACAAATCCAGTAGGGTAATTTGGATTGTTCACACCAGCAGGGTACAGAAAAGTTACGTGCAAGGGTCATCATCATGCCATCCATGCTGAGCTGATATATCATCTTCATACTTTTCAACCACTGAGTGGTTGTTTTTTGCAAACAAGGTAACACATATCTCTAATAGTACTATCAGGAAAGGAAACAATCATGCAGTTGTAAGTGACTGCATACTGTTGGGCGTGGAATTGGTTTCTGTGGCTTTTTGGAACCAAGTTTCTTCATGGCCTCGTAGTATTTTTTTTGCTCTTCAGTCATGAAGATGTCTTGATCTCCTAAGTGCAGAAACAAAATAATACACAGATTACTATAGGTTTTTAAATTAAGTGACAACTTATGTGTGCTTTAAATTAAAGAACAGATGTAATTCAAAGAAAGACATGAGTCACTTCTGTATGAGTGCAAATTGCAGTGTGATACTTATCTTTTTCTTTTGTTGGTTGAAGTTGTCAATAATGACACCAATAAAGAGGTTGAGTGTGAAGAAAGAACCAAAGATGATGAAGATGACAAAGTATAGGTACATGTAAAGGTTGACCTCATAAGAAGGTTGTTCTTCTACCTAAAATAAGCAAAACATTTTTTGTAAGTCATTAGAAAAAAAACTACTACTGTAAATGATCTGAAATGATTGTAAATCATTACCTCTCTTGAGTCAACTGCAGCATACATGATCTCCATCCAACCTTTAAAAGTTGCCTGTAAATACAGAGAACATTGTCTCAAAATGTCTTTCATTGTATACAACAAATTGAGTGCCTTTCCCCAGCAGCATTCCTCACCACTTGAAGCAGGGACAGGTAGCCTTGTCCAACATGGTCATAGTTGACTTTGATGTTGACCCAGCGGGCTTCCTGTGTGGCTTCTATCATGGCCAAGCAGTCGCTCTTGTTGTTGACCTCTGTAACGGGAAAGCGTTCCTCTGTGGTGGTGTTGATGCAGCTGTAAAACTTGCCAGCAAACAGGTTCACTCCCATGATGCTAAAAATGAGCCAGAAGATCAAACACACCAACAGTACGTTGAAGATGGAGGGAATCGCCCCGATGAGAGCATTGACCACCACCTGCCCGACACAGAAGACTTTGTTAGAATTATACAGAATTATTTCTTTATTTATTTTGTTTGTAAAACAGCGCAACAAACTTGGTGTGAGCCAGTGTTATGCTCAGTCATTGCTGGTGCTCTTACCTCAGTCAACTCTGTTCAGTTAGCCATGATGTAAGCATGCATTCAACAAACATAATAAGGGAAAGCTGGTCATGGTGAAGAATTTACTAAACAATTTACTTTAAATTCATGTTTGTGATGCACATTGCTCATGTTCTTGAAATCAGCATCAGTGACAAAAATCTTACCCTCATCCCTTCAAATCTTGACAATGCTCGAAGAGGCCTTAGCGCCCTCAGGGTTCTCAGGGATTTGATTGCTCCAAGGTCAGAGTAACCCATCCAGTTGGCAGTTAAACTAATCAGGGAAATCTGTGGCAGAATCAAAAAAATTTCCTATTCAAACATTACCACAGACTCAGATTTATTTTTATTTATTTATTTATTTTTTACCAATGTGTTCTTGAAAGTTTCGCAAATACAGTAGGCCAGCAGTGAACTTACATCTACAATGAAAAAGTCTAACCAACACCAGGCGTTAGTGAAGTAGGTCTTGAAGCCATATGCGACCCATTTAAGGAGCATCTCTATGACAAATATGTAGGTGAAAACTTTGTCAGCAAACTCCAGAATAATTTTGATGGTTCGGCGTCTTTCTATGTGTATGTCTTCAAAGGCCTGCCAAAAGATGACAAGTCCTCATAGAACTACATTATTTTTACACTGTCACACAACAATTTGAACTTTGTTGCACTGATGACAGCACTCACCAGAGCTCCGCTGCTGAGAAGGATCATAAAGATTATGAAGGTTTCAAACCAGTCATGCTCTACAATAGTGAAGCAGGTTCTACGCAGGTTCCACCACTTCTTGCCTTTACCTTGGGTGATGTCCACAGTCAGACATGGCCAACGTCTTACACAGTCTGAGGAGAGGGCAGGTTTAGGATTGCTCCAAAAGATATCACACTTCAGTAGCATGAACAATGGTATAATAAGCTTAAGAAATGAGCTAAATTGTCTGTGAGAAGATAGGTTTACAATTCAGTTATTTGATTTTGTTTACAGGCTGTGCGTACTGTCAGTGAAGCAGGCCTCTGGCTCCACTAGGTCTGGCTCTTCTTCCTCTTCTTCTGGTTCAGGCTCAGGTGGCTGATAGTCCACAGTGCTGCACACTGAAGAATCATCATCATCCGAAGTACCCATCAGCTGGTCATGAATAAAAAGAGCAAGTGAGTTACAAAGCCGCCATGCAAAAACACTATATACATAATTGATTTTCCCCAATTTATTTTGAATACAACCCAAAATACACTGATCATCTTCACAGACATCAACATTTAGTACATTCAATGATAAGTGTTGGATTTGTTCATACATTTAGATAATAATTATGAGTGGGTCTGCGGATTTACTCACTTTGACATGTTGGCATGTTGGCATTTTTCTTTCATCTTTTAAGCTTTCCTGGCACAATAATAAAGAATGAACTTTAGTAGATGTTCATAAACGGTAAGACAAACACAGCCTATACACGTTTATTTCTCTAAACAATGTATCTCAGTGATGGGCTTGACCCCGATGTCTAATTTCCCAGTTAATGAGACTTGTAAAGGACCTGCACACACTGTTCGGTTGACATCTGCCTCACGTAAAGCTTTTCACTTTTTTTGGCTACTTAGGTCTTGGCCTAGGTTAGAGTTATTCCAGCAGATGCTGAGCAGAGGTACTAATGAGTATTTCTTAAGTTTGTGTTTGTTTTCTTACTGTATTTTGTTGGTTAGTTTTGCCATCTAAAATCTCTGAGTCATGGGCATCATCAGCATTGTCATCTTCATCCTCCACACCCAGGTTTTCAAGGTCTGACTCTGCCTGGGCGATTGGCACATTGAGACTGAGCTCTCCATCCACAGTAAATGTAGAAGGTTGGACTTCAACTGAACACTTTGATATCCCATCTGCCATTTTGAAACTCTGACTGGTGTCCAAGTGGTTCATTTCAATTTCTTCCATTTTAGGGTCAATGTTGTCTGTGGGACCGACCTCAGGATCCACGGGCTTTCTGCCAAGAATCTGCAGGATTGTTTGCATAATGAACATTTTGAACCAATTGAAGCCCTGTGTGATCCTGCGAATGGCTATCTGGAGGTTGTTCATCTCTCCGTCTTCATCTCCTGCTGCGAGGTTGTCTCCACTGAATGAGCTGAGCAGCAAGGCCAAGAAGAGGTTTAACACCTGAGGCAGGAAGTAGGAACGAGCGA